TCAGACTGTCTTAAAACCTGGGACAGCTAATTTGCAAAGTGGGTCATGTAAGTGATCAGGGAAGTGGTGGAATCACGGTCCCTGGAGGTGTTTAAGGAGCGGCTGGATGTGGCACTTAGTGCCAGGGTCTGGCCGAGGTGATGGTGTTGCGTCATAGGCTTGCCTTGATGATCTCAGAGGTCTTTTCCAGCCCCAACTATTCTGTGATTCTGTGATGTAATGAATAAATGGTTAGAAGGTGTTCTTAAATCCTTCTCTTCACACTGCTTTTCCAGGGGAGTAATTGCTGTCAGAAGAGACCTTTGATTCTGTGACTACGAGGTAAGTTGGTTCTGGTTTTGATTATGCCTGTTCTTTGTCTCATGTCTTGCTAACATTTGGTATGTGCAGGGTTGTAGGTTGTTGTGTCAGTTATTCAAGGTTTTAGGAAAAGGTTTTAAAAAAAGATGCAAATGGAACAGGTAATGTTTTCTAAATGCATTCATTGTCTGACTGAGAACCGTGAAATATTAGTCTTTAAGTGTATGCAACAGGGTTCTGATAGTATAAGTATACACTCCATACCATAAAGGAAGTGTGTGTAGGATTTCAGCTTTTGAACAGAATCACCACAGTAAGACTTTACTCATACTTGAAATAATCATAATAGACTGTTTTTTGTTGTTGTTAAAGCTCACTCGTTATCCATCATCTCATATTTAAAAACAAAAAAAAGAGAAAGTATAGTGACTAGAAATAAATGGATATCTCATATTTGCAATCTAAGACACGATTCATGGTGAGCAGAGGGATTCCTAGAGCAACACAATAAAATGAAGTAAGTACAGGAATCATGGCCATCATTATCTTATGATCTAGTATTTGGAATCTGCTCTTTTGGGCAGGCATCTGCAACAAATCTTTGAAAATGAAATAAATTTTCTTTGCTTTCTTTGACATGACAGAGGTGACAGTTTATATAATAGCCGGAAGGTTAGAGGATTCCACTTTTGACCTAAAACACCCACATTTGTGGCCTTCCTCAAAATAGTTTTTGAACAAAATAGCTCAACTTAAGAAACACTGGGGTAGTTCTGGTACTATGAGATGCTGGAGGCCCTAATGAAGTTCAGAGGGAAACAGAGAAGTGCCTGCTGAGCTTAAGCACCAAGAGTAGTCAGAGCTGAGGGAGAGTACTGGGGACTGTAGTTCTGCAGTGAGGGTTTAGTTAGATGTAGTGACTGTCCTGCTGGCTCAGAGACACCTTATTAGACCACTGCACTGAAACTGGGTGGGAGCCAAGTGAAGAAGGCTCATTTGTCTACCACTGAAGGCAATAAATTTTGTGTGAAGGACAGGAAGTACCATACAAGGATGATTTCATAGATTGCTTGACCATGCATTGGCTACAGCCCTTATGTCCAAGTCCTTTATTAACTCTAGTTCTACATGATTTAAAACAGTAATCTCTTTAATCTCAAAAAACATACGTAGAAAAAGTATGCTGCTATGATTCTACAAACATATAGAACACCAAGTAGAGAGTTTTGTTCAAATGAGAATATTCTGTATTTTGTCTTTAAGATTTAGAATCATAGAATTGTTTAGGTTGGAAAAAGACCTTTAAGATCACTGAGTCCAACCATTAACCTAGCAATGCCAGATCTGTCACTAAATCATGTCTGTAAGCATCACATCTACACATCTTTTCAATACCTTCAGGGATGGTGACTCAACTCTTTTGCTGGGCAGCCTGTGCCAATGTTTAACAACCTAGGATCCAACCTGAACCTCCTCTGGTGCCACTTGAGTCCATTTCCTCTCATCCTGTCGCTTGTTGTTTGAGAGACTGATACCCACCTTGCTACAGCCTCCTTTCAGGGAGTTGTAGAGAGCCATAAGGTCTCCCCTCAGCCTCTTTTTCTCCAGGGTAAACAACCCCAGTTACCTCAGGCACTTGTCATAAGACTTGTGCTGGAAATCCTTCACCAGCTTCATTGCCCTTCTTTGGCCACCCTCCAGCACCTCAGTATCTTGCATGAGTCGCCCAAAACCCAATACAGATTTGAGGTGTGGCTTCACCAGAGCTGAGTCCAGGGGCACAATCACTTCGCTTGTCCTGCTGGCCACACTATTCCTGATACAGGCCAGGACGCCATTGGCCTTCTTGGCCGCCTGGGCACACTGCGGGCTCCTCTTCAGCCGGCTGTCCACCAACGCCCCCAGATCCCACTCTGCCTGGCAGCTCTCCAGCCACTCCTCCTCAAGCCTGTAGCGCTGCTGAGGGTTGTTGTGGCCAAGGTGCAGGACCTGGCATTTGGCTTTATTGAAACTCCTGCAACTGGACTTGGCCCAGCGACCTAGCCTGTGCAGATCTCTCTGTGGAGCCTTCCTTCCCTCAATCAAAGCAATACTCCCATCCAACTTGGTGTCGTCCACAAACTTACTGAGGGTCCACTTGATGCCCTCGTCCAGATCATTGATAAACATATTAAGCAGAACTGCCCCCAGTAGTGAGCCCTGGGAAACACCACTTATGGCTGGCCACCAGCTGGAGTTAACTCCATTCACCACCACTCTTAGGGCCAAGCCATCCAGACAGTTTTTTCCCTGTTGAAGGGTAGAGCAATCCAAGCTGTGAGCAGCCAATTTCTCTGGGAATTAATTAACTGAGTCAATTATACTTAATTACTAGTGAATAGAGTTTTAGTTTTTAAAAGAAGCTTTTCAGGTAACATAGACCCATCATTTAATTACATTTAAAAATCTAAATCCTGATGCAATTCCTTTCTGACTTGTAAATATTTAGGATCAAAGATAGGCCTATTGAGAAAAATACAACATGCAGTTATCATGGAGAGAAAGGGGTTGGAATAAGCAGTTATTTTATGGGTCAGTAGCCTTCCAATACCTGTACACACTGATTGTTTGTGATAATTAAAATTCAGTGCAGAAGACACATTTTTAATAATCAGTAAGCCAAAGAGTTCCACGTGCATCGTTGCCTCGAGTGAGATCATGACCACTGAATACAGAGAGCTTTAGGGGAACAAAGCTAACACTGACAGCTGATGGCAGAATCGACTGAAATCCAGAATAGTAACCGCAGCAAAGAAACAGACTGATGGGCATAATCTACAATACAGTAATTGTCCTGTTCTCTCTGCTTGTTGCTACAGATCATACTGCCTTTTTGATTTTACCAGCGAACCAAATATGTAGGAAAATGTAGAAGTTTCTTGAAAATGTTCTCAGAAGCTGGATATATTTATACAGTGTGAAGAAATATTTAAAATTAAAGGATTTATTTGTTCATTGTCTTGGAATATGATTATTTGAATCTGTGAACGTTAATTGTACAACATTATAAATACTTTTACATGAATTAACTTTTTTAATTGTTTGGTTTAAACCTAATTAAACTCATTCAGAATTGAAATTGCTTTTTATGACTTTAGCTAAATTTATATCTGAAATTAATTGAACCAAACTGAATAATTCCAAATAAGTGTCGGTATCTCCATGCCAGGAGTAACACAATTTAAATAACCCGGATTTCTTTAATGCCCTTGTAAATCTGATTCTTGTATGTGTGCATGATACTTAGTTTCTACAGTGACTGCACAAATCAGAAGGTAGGATATCTATTATTTTCGTTGAATATACTGTCAGTAATTTGTCCTAATGCTTTCTCTTACATAAGTTAATTTGTCTCTAGCCAAAGCTGCACTTTCTGAAACACTGAATTCTAGTGTGTGCGTTTGTGTTTGTGTGTGTATACATATATGCACAAGGGTGAAGCAGGTTGGAGCTGAAGAATCTTGGACTGTATGGATCTTCCTGTCAAAACTATAATTAGTGACCTGCCTAAGAAGTTTCAAATTTCATATGTGTTTCACTGTTGCTGTGTTACAGTTTATTTGAGAGGCCAGTAGAGGAACAATACCTGAAAAAATGCAGAGGATTCAAAAAGAGCTTCAAATTTTTGTTGTACACAACAAACAACAGCTTTGACTTCTGTAACCAGCCAGGCTACAGCTTATACTGCACTAGAAAATGAGGTTTTATGTCACAGGGAGGCTGTTGGAATAGTCCTGGCTGAGGGTGAATGTGTGGTTTCCCTTTAAGAACTGAGAAGTTACTAAGCGGTACGAGCAGTGTGCATTTCAGTTTTATACAGTGTTAAAAGAAACCTCAGTTTGGCGTAGCTAGTGCTAGTGGGGCATCTTGCTCTTGACTTTTGCTTGTAGCTTCACGGGAAGGCTTTGCTGAAGTTTTGCAAGCCATGTGAAATTAGGTCCACATGAGGTATTACATCCATATGCTTCATAAGCTGCTGTTAGATGCAGCTGTGAAGGTCTGCCTCATTCATGTGCACAGATACTAATACCAAAAAAAAGCAGAAGACAGATTTGGTGTAAATAGGTGTTGCTTTCTTAAATCAGTGAAATTTGTTCTGTGCGGGCGTGTATCTTAATATCTGCAGACCTAAGTTTTGTCTTCTGTGAAATAGGAACAGAGAATTCGAATTGAATTCAAATTGAATTTGAACCACGTTTTCAAGGCAGAGCTTACTTGTACATTCTGCAGTTGTATAGAATGTTTGCCAACATAGGATGTATAAACAAACATGGGGAAATACCCTAATGGGACCTTCAGGTTCATATATGATTCATAGATGCAGATAAAACGAACAGAAAAGCATGTTCTATGTGTTTGTACCACATTACAACTTGAGACAGTGGTGTCTCAGATTTTCTTTTTAGTTATGTATTTTGTTGACAGATGTATTTTACCAATTGTGTTCAAGTGATAGAAAGCTTTTTTTGTTTATAAAGGACAACTTTCTGCCTAGGAATTACTACATGAAAGAAATCTTCAAACTGACTCGATGGGTCAAACGAATGAGAAAGTCTTGTCTTGCAGGCTTTCCTCAATCACTGGTAAACTGATTCCTAAAACAGAGAACAGAGTTTGTTTGTCCGCTTTTATTTTTTGTTGTTGTTGTTTTTGTTTTTAGAATGGGTAAAAAAGTAAAGAAGGAAGTAGAGCCTCCGCCCAAGGATGTGGTAAGTTTATAAACTGCTATATGCTGTAAAATAAATATTACACAATTATAGGCCCGCTGTACCATCCTTAGATAGTTCCTTACTCTCTTAGCTTACCCACGTTATTCTAAAAATGTCTTTTAAAGATGATTCTCTTTCTGCTTTTCTTGGACAGCATACAAACCAGAGTGACTGGGCATGTGTAGTTCTCTGTGGAGATTGTTGTCTTTGGCAGGCATTGCCAATAGTAATGTATGAAACATTCTTTTTATTTGAAGAACAGTATTAACTTTCCATTTGTAAAAGTCAAAGACAAAAGGAGAAGAGCGACCTGAAATCTGCCTGTCTTTTCAACTGTGGAGATATTCTCTTTCCTTAAGGATGAAAGAGTTAAGAGCCTAGATGGATCTGCAGAGTTTTTTACCGAATACAAAATTTTACATATATTTTGAATGACAGTACTACATATTCAGGGTCTCTTGCAAAGATATAGTCTTCAGCTGCAGTTCTGTTTTTTTCTGGTATCATTGGAAGTGCCACAGTGAGAAGTACAAGAGCTGAAGCCAAATATGGAATAGTAGTGGTAATGTGACTTTTTTTTGAAAGGTAGAGATTAAAGGCTTGACACTAGCACACTTCTCAAGGGTTTCTATAAATTCACAAGGTACAAAGAGAACCCCCAAAAGAGAGAAGTTAAAAATATAGGTATTTTTAAACTTTAATTGGTTTATTCAGAAAGAAGTAGAGGAAATAAGGCAGGAAAAGAATATAGTATAAATTCTGTGCCAGATAAAAACACTTAATGAAAATGAGGGCCATGAGTCCCACAGAGGAGTGTGAAAACTAAATACAGAGTTCAGTATACTGTTTTTATAAAAGTAGTGGATTTGTCTGTAAAGACTGAAGGTACTGCAAGAGTTTTTTCAAAGGTCATAGAAAAGCTAATGGGCAAAAGCTACTTCACAATGTCAATATTAAATAAGCACAAATAATTTTGACTGACACAGTAATATCCAATAGCCATGATGTCACTGAGGCATAGCAATTGATTCCAGGTTTTGCCCAACTGTTCTGTGGAAAGATGAATATTACAAATGTAATTAATGAGTTCCAATCAGTAATAAATCCTTATGAAAGGAAATTTAACATAAAAATTCACCATGAGAAGGTAAAGTGGTCTAAAGCCATTTCTCTATGGGATAGCCTAGGAAACCAGCAGGAGACACAAAGAAAGTGTTTACGGATAGGACTAATTAGAGCGGGCCTGAGGAATTAAAACTACATATCTTTGCATTTTTGGCATTTATTGCAATTTAAAGGCATGACAGTAGATTTAAGGCATACAGATGAGCTAACCCTCTCCAAAGTAATAAAAGTTGACTTTTCCAGTAAATATCTGGAAAGTCAGTAGGAGCTGTAACACAATTTCTAGGTCCAAAAGACAGCATTAACGTTTCTGGAGAAAAGTATGGTACAGCCTACTTATTACATAAGCTGTGAATAATGTTAGAAAAGATATTCCAAAATTGAAAAAAATAAAACTTACAGAAAGGGTCAGTAAAATTATTAAAAAGGCAAGCATTGGAAAGAGATGGTATCTACATTTTTTGGCTTAGTTTTTAACCCTATTGTACTTCAGGCTAGCATATCTCTTTCAGCAGTCCTATGAGGAATTAAAAATGAATGTTGCATAGCAAAACAGTATTAAACATGAAAATAGATCATGGATTGGTTGTAATTATAAACCAAGGAAATCCTCTAGCTATGAGAATATTATTAATATTGATCATGTAAAATCAAATCTCAAAACCTGAAATTTCACTTGGATGTTTCAGATAGCAGGAAATGAGATGCAGACAAAATAAAATATGTATTAACTATTATCTTCTGATTGATAATCTGCTTATGAAAATGTCAAGTCCAAGAAAAGAAGCCTTGAGATAATGTGGGCAGGCTCATAAAAGAGGGCCTTTATGCATGTGGAAAGCTCTGAAAATATATGGTACTGCAGATGACCACTGATTTTTACAGAACAGGTGGGAAGCACATCTCTTACCTTAGTCACTGCTTGTATGTTTCAGAAAGTATTCCTGAGGACTCTTTTCCTTGCCTTTCATAATTTGTCTTTTACTATTAGCAGTCCTGAAAATTGGGCTTCTCCAGGAAAAATATTGCTTTTGAGCCTCTATCTCTATATGAGTGACCTTAGAAAATAATTCAGGCAGATCTAATATGCAAGCTTTGACATAGATTGATAGGAGCTTTTCGTATGACGTCTTCATTAAGTTTGGTCCAGACAATATTACTTTTTGATCATCAGCTAAGGCACAGACATTAAAAAGGAAGCCTAGGATTACCACTAGAGAAAATTCTGAGACATTACCACTGAAAGCAAGCTATGGATACCTGAGTATTTTTGAAAATGGCTTCATTCACACCACTGCTGTTACAAAGGCAAAATATACATAGTGGCGCTGTCAGATCTGAATCTCAGTCTCCACAGAAACATCTTCTTTTGAGCAATTAAGTCCTAAATATTAATTTGCCTTGAGTTTAGTAAGGCTTTCACCACTGTCTCTCGTAAAATCCTCATAGACAAACTGATGAAGTAGAGACAAGATAAATGGACAGTGTAAAAGAATTGAGAACTAGCTTAACTGCCCAACTCTGTGATCAGCAGCATGAGGTCCAGCTGGAGGTCAGGCACTGGTGATGTGCCCCAGGGCTTGATCCTGGGACTGGTACTTGTTAACCGTCTCGTTAGTGACCCAATTGATGGGACAGAGTGCACCCACAGAAAGTTTGCAGAAGATAGGAGTGATTGACAGACCAGATGGTTGTGCAGCCATTCAGAGAGACCTCAACAAACTAGAGAAATGGGAAAACAGAAATTTCATTAATTTCAATCAAGGGGAATGCCAAATTCTGCACCTGGGGGAGGAATAACAGTCCAGACTGGATGATGATCTGCTGGAAAGCAGCTTCGTAGGAAGGGACCTGGTGATTCTGGTGACGTGGACCAGCAATCTGCGCTTGGGGCAAAGAAAGCAGAGTGTTGCCAGCAACTTGAGAGAGGGAACTGTTGTCTTCCACTCAGCGTTGATGAGTGAGACTGTACTTGGAGTGCTGTGTCCAGTTCTGGGTTCCCCAGTACGAGAGACATATGGACATGCTGGAACAAATCTGTTAAAGGCCTGGAGCAGTAAAATGTCCCAGCTTTTACTTGGAAAAGTAAAAGCACAATGTCACAATGCACCAAAGTATTTTGGGAGAGAACTGGCAAGGATACAAAAACTAGCAGTAAGGCTTTTCCAAATTGACTAGAAGCAAGAAGCTTCTTAGAGGGACACTAAGAGATGATTAAAGTCATAAAAGGAAAGCTAAATCACTTTTTTTTGTGTCAAAAGGCAAAGCTATGTAGCAAATCACCAAAACAAAGGTGAGGAAATTGCCTAAATATAAATAGTTAATATTTGCCCAGGTCTTGTTCTAACTGAACGGTAACTAAAATCTGAGATTGTGGTATTATTACTTATTTGCACTAGAGGAATGGAAAGCAGAAAATCTAATTTTCAAAAAGAAATACATCAGTAATAGCACAAAGTTTGTCTTTCATGCTGTGTTAATTAGTAGAAATGGTTAGCGAAGAAAGATTTTTTAAAAATATGATAATAATTGGGGAGAATCAATACTGTTTGTGTAGAAAAGGAAAGTGCAATCTCTGAAATCTATTTGAATTCTTTAGAGGAGTCAGTGAGCAAATGAATAATGGTGATCTGGTTGATACAGTTATTTAGCTTTTTCAAAAGTTTTGCGACCAGGCTCTTCACTCACGTAAACACTAACAGGTAAAGAAATATTGCCCTCCTGGCAATAATGTCTAGTTATAAAATAGAAATCAAAGGTGAGAAAACAAATTACTGCTCAGGTTTCATAACAGAGAGAGGTTGCCAGTGCAATGTGATGGGGTTTTATTTTGCACCCTGTGTCATCCAGCCTATCAGAATTAATGTGCATACTTTCATGAAAATGGCAACCGGCTACTAAGTAAGCAAAAGTGGATAAATACAATATTTTGAATTCCAGAAATAAAAGGCAAAACACCACATTGCTAGCAAATGAATTGCACATGCACATGTTGAATAGCATTAACAGTTCTAGTGTTCCCATCTCAAAAAAGCTCTTTTTGAACTGTAGAAAAGTACAAAGACATCAAGAATAAAAAGAATGGCTTCTGTATTAGGAAGGATCGACAAGAGGAGGTTTCTTCATCCCCAGAAGGAAGTGACTATGAAGAGGAATATCACAGAAACTTAGAAAATTATGAATGTACAGAGAAGGCAAATGGGTGTAATTTATCTCATTGTTTCTTATGGTGAATGAATTGTGAAGGTCAAGTAAAATTAACAGGTCGTCTTTTTAAAACAGAGAGAAGACAACTATCTGTATGACTGTGAAACTGCGATACACGTGTCTCAGAATGTTAAGGGTGGCTGAAATACATGTGGCTTCATGAATTGTTTACCAGATTAACTGATGGAAGATTTTTCTTTTTGAACACAGAGATAAAATCACTAGCTCACCGTTCTCTAGATTGGAGAGTGCTGGATTCTGGGAGGGAATATAAGGAAAGTTTAATATTCTGCTTACCCTCACCTGCTACTGGCCTTTGTTCGAGACAGAATGCTGGGCTAGATGGCTCTTTAAAGTTCTGACTGGAAACATATTTTCTATTACCTTCATTTTCAACTAAGTCAAAAGAAAAACCCAAATACTCTGCATTTTCTAATGGCTTTGAAGTCAAATGTACACAAAAAACATGATCAAAGACATGTACAAGTTTTTGAATTATAGCTTTCTCTCATTTAACTTGATTAAACATATTATCTATTACCTTCATTTTCAACTAAGTTGATGGAAGTCAAAAGAAAAACCCAAATACTCTGCATTTTCTAATGGCTTTGAAGTCAAATGTACACAAAAAACATGATCAAAGACATGTACAAGTTTTTGAATTATAGCTTTCTCTCATTTAACTTGATTTTTTCTTAATACAAACTGCATGTTAGAAATATTGTTGCTTATAAACCAGTTAAATTTCTGTGTTTAATTCAAGGTTGTTTGTAACTTCAGGCATATTATTCTAACATGTAATCTGTCTTGTATGTGCCATTAAGGAAAGAGTCTGCAATGATGTATGAAGATTTAGGAGCAAGCCTTGATTTTAAAAGAAAAAAAAAAGAAGGAAGGAACTCCAGCTATGCTGGCATTATGATAAGCAAAAGTCATATGCAGTTCTATAATAGTCTGTGGTAGTTTGATGAACAGTGTTACTTCCCAACAAATCACCAACCTGCTCCGGCCTCTGACTTCTTAAATACACATTGTTTTCTATGACTGTTCTTACTGGATTTTCAGCACAAAACTGCTTCTAGTTGGAAAGTGCTTACTGAATGTTTTAGATGTAGTAGTGAATCTAATGTCTATACAAATGGGTCGAGATTAGACCAACTATACTCTGCTCATGTGCCAAACTGTCATTAAATCCTAGGAATTATCATTGAATTGTGGTTTTTATGAGTACTTGTGAACACAATGAAAATGGAGCAGAGTAATAGCATTGGTATTAGATCAATATAAATAAATGACTGAGATTTAAAACTCTTATTTCATATTTCATTTCTTATTAAACTTCATCTGAGATCAATCTCTGTGTTTATTTGTCTCTAGAGGGCTAACAGCCTTTACTAAAAATTACAGTTTTATCCCGTCACGAAGTATTTGGCCAGACTTAGGAGATGTGCCTGTGCTTAAATCCCAGCACTTACCTGGAAGATCATGTCCTGGCCACACAAAGACAGAAATGTGTGGGAGTAGAGAAGTGTGAAGGTGGCTTAAGGAACTCTAAGTCGTCTCTTAAGTGTTCCTGTACGCCTCTCATATGGGTAGAATGAATGAATGTTGCTGTGATAAGCAGGGTTTTTTTGCCTCCTTACAATCCAAAAAGACAATTCCCGTAAAGAATTCATAGAAAGGCCTAGGTTGGAAGGGACCTTAGAGATCGTTTAATCCAAGCTCCCTGTCCTGGGCAGGGCCGCCACCTCTCGACTAGACCAGGCAACACATGGGGACTGAGGGGAATCGAACCCATAACCTTGGTGTTGTCATTGTCAGCACCACACTCAACCCACTGAGCTAACTGGCCCTCTTCCATCATTTTAATCCCATCATAAAGATGTAACTTGGACCACTGTGCCAAATTCTTGTTGGTGAATCAGTCTTAAGCAAAATGACTTACAGTAGAGTAAGTTTATTATATTTTCTCTAAAGAGAAGCTTTGTTCCATGACTTGTCCTGTTCCTCCAGCTTGTCACAGCAATCGTGAAGTTCGACAGTGTCTTCAGGTTTTCAGACCTGCTTGAAGCTAGGGAGACCACTTAAGCACCTTAGCCAGGGAGTCTCTTAACTGTTTATGAAAATTGGATCTTGATCTTACAGACTATTAAATTGTGTGATATGCCTTGTGGAAGATGATGAAATTACTTAGATCTAAAAACTTACAAAATTTGTGAATATAGAATTCTGGGTGCTAGTATCATATTTTGCCTCATTTTTTAACAAGTCAGAGAAGAGAGAAGAAAAAAAGCCTTTTCTTTGTTCACTTTCCTTCTAGCACACTCATAACTTCTTAAGATTTGCCTCAAATAATTTTCTTACTTGACAATTGACCTGTATGTATCTTCATGCCCTTATTGTGCAGCAACATGTGCCTCTGATGTAACTGTCAAAGGGTTTTTAATGAAATAAAATGACTAATAGACATTTAAAATTATATATGGTGTAAAATATACATTGTAATAACATTGTAAACCAATTTGTATTGCTATTTTAAATTACTAGTCTGATGTATTTTAAAGATAAATACATCGAGAGATTGCATGACCTCAGTATCTAGTAGTTTCTGTATGTAATACAGATACTCTACAGGCCTAAAGTTTGAGGATACGTGACAGTTTTTCTATATTAAAAAGTATTTTTAATCCAGATAAGCTTAAAACTTTTTAAGGGGTAGAATTTTCAGAAATCGTTGAGTCTGGTTAAAGAGCAAAAAGTCTAGAAGATTCTCTTGCTCAAGTGATGTTAGTCCTAAAGAGTCTATGAAGAGAGTAAAAACTGCCAGATTTGTTGGAAGATTTCTTTCTGTGTGAGAAGTCAGAAATAGAAATGAGCACTTTGTATCATTTCTAGCTGAATGAGCAGGGATTCTATCTTGGAAATAGTTCAGCTGGTACAAGATCGCGATGAGCTAGTGAATTGAGTTGATAAAAGTCCTTTTATTTTTTTAAAGCAGCCACAAAGTGTTAATGCCACAAAGTTCATAGGCTCTGTGCACAGCTTCTCAAAAGAAGTTTCTCATGTTTGGTTCCAAAGCTGCAGGATGCTCTTACATGTCTAACAGAATTAGAGAATTTGGTGCCTTCAAGACTTCCTAGACGTACAAGGACATGTCAGGGTTTTCCAAAAATCTTCACATGGGATGAAATCATTATTTTATCTGGAAGTCAAATATTCTTCCTTATTTTTCAGCGATGTCTCAAATTATTACTAAACATTTGAGTTTCTCCAAGTAAATAGCAACTTGTGTTAATATTTCTAATTCAGGGTAGAGCTTAAACTAGATTTTTTAAAATGAAATAAAGGAGTCTACTGCAGCACACAGGAAGGCTCAGTATAAATCAGTCTATTTTTATCTTTGTTTCTAGTTTGATCCTTTATTGATTGAAAGCAAAACAGCAGCAACGGTGGTGCTAATGCTTAATTCTCCTGAAGAGGAAGTTTTGACCAAAGCATGTGATGCTCTATATAAATTTGCATCAAAAGGTTAGTCTTTTTGGAATGAGCTTTCCTTTCAATTGCTTAGATTTTGATAGTGGTTCACAGCTTTTTAGTTTCCTAGGACTGAAATCTTCACTTCATCTCAAAGGTCTCCATGAAGGTTTTGGGGTTTTTCTGAAGAATATGTCAAAAACATATTTGCAGTTATAAAGAAGTCCTGTGGTAGGATTTTATATTCTCTGTTTAATAGAGCTTGGTTTAAATAAAACCTAGATCTGTTTTGTTATGAGCAGCAGACCTGCATCTGGGAAAGAATTCTCCTTTTTATGTTACAGTTTGAACCTTGTGTACCAGTGTACTTATTTTGAGGTTCAGTTTTAAATGGAAATTACTTTTCAGCCTGTTTCTAGTTTGTTTTTTTGTTTGGGTTTTTTTTTTGCATATAGCTTTTGTGTCTGGTTAGGGATCACTGGCTTCTGAAAGATGTTTAGGTTCAGTTTAATATGGCAAACTTGGCTGAAGGCACGCAACCAAATTTTGAATATGTAAAAAAATAAATTGAACGGTTGGGAGACATCTATGAACCGCACACCATACTCTTGCAGGCTCCTTCCCTGCTGTCTACAGGAAATACAGCACACTGCAAGAGGCCAGATACTTCATTTTTCAGTTTCTACTAAATGAATAATCCTTTAAATTGTTAATGTAGATATTCCTGCAGTCTTCCAGAAGACTAGGTGGTAACCGTGTATCAGAAGAGAAGGAGTTGTTTTCACTTTGCAGTTCATTGATTTATTGAATGTTGTTAGTAAATTAAGTCCCATCCCTCAATAAAAAGTAGTTCTTGTATTTTAGTGTATTTCGGCCTGAGAATGAGCATAGTTCTCCAGTTTCTTCTCACACTGCTGACTTGTAGCCAAAAAGGACAGGCATTAGGATTAGAAAACAGTTGTGGGAAATTGGAATAGGAGTAGGTTTGAGATTTTCTTTCTTGGGTTTTAAGTGTTTTTTGAGTGAGCAGAAGCAGAAGGCTGTAATCGTACAAAACGGTTCTGTTCTTTGCGTGGCAGAGCCTATTCTGCTACGAAGTCCTCAATTCTCAGGTGGTAGAAATCTCAGGTGGGATTTAATGATCCAGATCCCGGTAATTGCTTCAGTTGATGGTCGTGCAGATCCACAGAATCAATTAACTGTTATTTTGAGGAAAATAACACGGGGAGGCAAGAAAGGGGGAGAATAAAATGAGATTCTTAATGATAGCATTCACCTGTATTTCACTAAGTAGAGAGTGGGCCTTGTTACTAGCACTGCAGTGGTACCACAAGTGAGTTACATGTCCAGTAGGCAGAAGCATCCTTTGCTTTATAAATGTGAATTAATCCTTGATACTGTTTGACACATGTTTATTTGGGATATAGATTAGATGATCTCCCAAGGCCCCATCCTGGCATTTTTTCTTTGATTCTACAGTCTAATAAAAGATTGGTAGTTGTTTTACTTTGTTGCAGTAGAACTGTGAGCTTGTTGCATTTTTATGGAACTTTTAACCTAATTTCTCTTCAGGTGATGAAAACAAAGTGACACTTCTTGGTCTTGGAGCAGTGGAACATCTGTATAAACTCATCTCGCATGAAAATCCAACTGTACGCAGAAATGCCGTCATGGTAGTTGGCATCATGGCTTCTAATTGTAAGAGTCTTTATTTTTTAATGTTTTCCCATGTGTATGAATGTGGTCATCAAAGCAATAAGTGGCCTGTGTGAAAAAATCCTATGTTAACAGCCAAGAGTAAAGGAGCAAATTCAGCTCCACTGATTTTGGAAAAAAAAAAAAAGGACAAGAGAAGTTAATTTTCCTCCAGCCTTCATTTCTGTTTTGATAGGGCCAAACTGAAATGGTTCAGTACTGGAATTACATCTATCAGGGGAAGCCTGACTACATCAAATGCCTGGCAGTGTGGACGTGGCACATTCTTCTCTTTTACAAAAGTTGGAATAGAAGCTGTGGTTAAATATCAGTTGTTACTTGAGGTGGTAGTGTAACTACCAGTGATAGGAGAGAAAACATGTTAAATGTAAGGTAGCTAACTCAAGTATTGATGGCATAAAAAGCTCTGAACTATCAAGCATTAGCATATTTACCCGACTTCTTGGGCAGGTCAGTGCTGCTGTAAATGCTTTGTTATCTATATCTGAGCTAGTGAAATTGAAGTAGTCTGGAATATCTCTCAGAGACATTCCATTCACAGCAAGATAGTGTATCTGCTCTAGCCATGTCATTATTAAATTATTTAACCACATTATATGCAGATTTTCTTGTGCACTTTTATAAGGTGAGAATGGATGTATTATATCCCTGCTGGATGGCCAAGTGCCAAATGATCAAGCTGCAGTGAGTGGTAGGTAGGCATCCCTGAAGATGAAAGAATAAGCGATGTAAGGTTGAATTTCAGTGGCTGCCATTTTTACATTGTTTTGTGATTAATATAATTAATCAGGTCTTATTTTGTTCTTCCATGGTGTTATCTTAACCAGTATTTAAGTCTCTTCACCAACTGCTACCTGCTTTTCATGTCACACTGGACCTTATGCTCTTTACCTTACTTTCAACTCAGCAGTCCCAGGCAGTTACTCCTTTTAGACCTTGGCTTCCAATGCTGCTGCACAAACGAGGATTTGGATGCCTGAAGATCTTCCGTTTATATTCACATTTAAATTGTTGGTTTTTTCCTTGAAAGGGAATTCAAGTCATACCTTTTCTCTTACATTTCAACACTGTAATGTGTTCCTAGTAACAACAGCCCTGTAAGATCACATGAAGTCTGTCCCAAAGCGTGCTTTCTGGTTCTATCCAGTGATTGTGAATTTGCTAGTTTGCCATGGACAACAATAAAAATGCATTCTGAAAGTCTTTACTGTGATCTTAATAAGGCCTATATAATACGTGTTTTCAGTTTGCAGTGTGGGCAGTGTTAGCATAAAATTAGCAAGGGAGGGCTTGAAAATTCAGTAAGGGAAGGATTGCTTTTAGTGTGATATTAACCACAAATAATTTTAACTATTGGGGTATGACTTCTTTGACAACTAAAACTGTGCAATATTTAATCAGAACCTGCTAGATGCAAGTATTTTGGATAAAGTTTCAGTGAAGTATTGAGGAACTTCATATGTATCAAATGTCAAAGAATGTCATCTGGTACTTGAAAATCTCCTCTATGTTTTCTGGGCCCATTATGATTTTTTGGGGGGGCATAACTTCAATTGTGTGTCATTCCCAGTCAGATCTTTTTGTCACTTGCGGAGTAACAATAAGTACATTTCCCTTGAAACTGAACATGTTTCTTTACTCAGCCCAGGTGTACAAATGAAAGACTTCATATCTGTATTTATTTCATTGTAGATGATGTCAAGAACTTACTGAGGGAGCTGGATGTCACAAATTCACTTATATCACAGCTGGTGCCAGAAGGTAGCTTGCAGTATTAATTTCTTGTGCAAAAATACACTCAGAAATAATTTATGATTGCCGTTTGATCAGACAATTTAATACAATCATCCGTATAACTTAACAGTTTGTCATACTACATGTTAAATAGGTAACTGCTTTTACAGGAGTAGCTACATTACTCACTGGGTAGTGTTTTATGTAGTACAGATGGAGCAATATGTTTATGGAGATGTCAGATATGATTAACAGCTATTGTTTATTGACTTCAAATTATATTTTAAACCGCTAGGTTAGTGAACTGTTCTGAATAAAACTTGATCAAAATATTTCTTTTTTTTTTCCCCATAGAAGATGTAGTTATCCATGAATTTGCTACTCTCTGTCTAGCACACATGGCTGTCGAATATACTACTAAAGTACGAATCTTTGAGCAAGGTGGTTTAGAACCACTTATCAGACTGCTGGGTAGCCCTGATCCTGATGTTAAGAAGAATTCAGTTGAATGTATCTACCTCCTGGTGCAGGTAATGTTGTTGATGTTGTTTTAAATTAAAGAGGCAGATAAGCACTTTTCCCCACCTCTATCATCCTCTGTAAGGCTAATAATTTTAGAGTATTTGGTTCCTGTACGCCCCAGTGTTCATCAATGTCTTTGAAAGTATTACACCCAAGTCCTGACTGTTGCATTAGTTAGGAATATAGCTTATTTTAATTTTCTTGAACTTATTATCCAATTATCCATCTGTACATTGATGTGAGATCAGAATCAGATTTTTTAAATTAAATATGAATTTGTTTTCTTAGTTGGAAAATGTTAATCTTGGTAATGAGAGTTATAACCTGTCTGTCCAAAAGATTGGAATAATCCTGTAAATTTAAGAACTAGCATTTGCATTGTGCCTTGTTTTGGCCAGCAAGTCCGTAGTCACAATTTTTTGATGATAGGTGAATGCTGTCAACAGCTACTTGCCATACTGGGGGGAATAGATTTGTTATTGGCTACTTTCGCACTCTGCACTAATGTCATCCATATGCTGCTTAGCAAAAGAATGGGGCATTTGTGCGGCAGTTCTCTTCCCATGGCTTAGGCGAATCAGTTCAATAATGAATTCAGTTTATAACTCTATCTCTTTTGGGGCATCAGAGCATGTCTATTCAGAATCACATTTTACTCTTTCTCCTTTTTTACTATCTCACTGTCTTTGTTGCAGGGTATATCTGGATAACTGCACCTGGTGCTTGCTTATATTGATAAGGATAATTGCATGCTGCACATGTGCAATAAGATATTTAAAAGCAAATTGTAATTTATTTATTTTTTCTTTTTTAATATAATCTACTACTGTCTTTTTATTAAGCTTCATATAAAATGTTTAAAGTTGAAATTTTAAATTGTCATTTTATAATTAGTAACGCAAAAGAAGATATAACCAGGCAACCACAGTAGAGTGCGAAAAGTATTTTCCCCTCACTGAGGTAAATAAAAATGATGAAACTAAATTTAAAAAACTTCCACAAAGAAACATGTGTGTTGAGACAACATGGCAAAAGCAAGAGTAAATAAGCTTCCTTAGACAGGTCTAGATTCTGTGCTGTGTACTTCAGTGATGCGAAAAGATTGGGATTTAAGGTTGATGGGGCTTGATTATATTGAGTTTGATTCTTAACTGAAAGAAATCTTCAGAACTGGAAGTTCTGGACTATTGACTCATTTTTGTATGTCTGAAATAATATTTTTAGTGTTTGTTCTGTAAAGCAGGAATTGATATACTATTATATTCTCTGTCACTAACATTCTTTGTTGAATATTTTACTGCAGGATTTTCAAAGCCGTGCTGCAGTTTGTGCACTGAATGTAATTCCACCCTTGCTGGAGCTACTGAAATCTGAATACCCCGTTATTCAGTTGTTAGCCCTTCAAACCTTAGAAGTAATTAGCAAAGACAGAGAAACCAGAATAATACTGGGAAAAAATGAAGGATTAGATTGTCTTCTGAAGATACTGGAAGCAAATGTACAGTTTACTTTCCTTTAAAAGTTTTTTTATTCTTGCAGCTAATGTTTGTATGATTAATGAGAAATATTATTCATGTTGTGTAAGAGTGATAAAAGCAGAAAGGGCTCCTTACATGGAGCTGACTTTGAGAGAAATAGGATAAGCTAGGATACCTACCTTAGCAAGAAAGGGAGCAAAGGGATTCACCAAACTATTTATGTTTGGTTTATAGCTCTATAGCTATTAGTAATACCGTTTTGCCTTTACTGTCCGTTTCTCAAACTTGTAAGTATCAGAAAAATTCACCATATAGCTTTTTATAAAATGTTTTCTCAAATTTTGTATTACATGCTGAACCCTGGTGCTGGTTCCTAGTTTGAACACTGAACTTTTTTTCTCAGTTTATTTTTATATCGGTGGCCTTAAATATAATTTCATATGTCTGAAATGTCATTGTTTATGTTACTATGAGATGCATTTAGTGCTTCTTGAATTCAGAAGTTGTGCGTAGAGAAATTTGTGAAGTTTTTGACATTTTAAGATGACAGGCTCTTTCTGAATACCTGCCTTTGATGTAAATGAGAAACTTTCAGGGTTTTTACTGGTTTGTGTAAATTATATTGCATCCTAAGGCACATCAGAGAAATAATACAAAAAATATCAGTATGAAAAGATGTGCTTTGCAGTATGAATAAAATGTCCGAAAGAGTTATGACAATTATCCTGCAAAGTTAAAAGCCAAAGGTATTTTAATCCTGATCTGAAGATTATTTGTTTGGGTTTTTTTCCTGATTAGGAATTCAGTGATCTACATGTGGAAGCGCTTGCCGTGTTGGGAAATTGTCTTGAAGATGTACATATTCTGCAACTGTTCCAGCAGAGAGGAGGCCTTAAAAAGCTGCTCTCGTTTGTAGGAGTCTCTGCTGTTCCTGATATTCAGAAGAACGCAGCAAAGGCAATTACCAAAGCAGCTTATGACTGTATGTGACTTTTTAAAAAATCCAGGGGTGTGGATTTGTTTATAAAAGTAAATTTTCGTCCAGAATGAGGCCATCTTATCTTGTTCAGGGTAGTACTTGTTTCTGAGAGAAACACTGACAGGAATGAATTACAGTGATGAGTCTGGCCAATCAGAGCAGCAATTGGATGTTTGGTTATGTATATAAAAATATTAAGATTTTGCCTCAATTTATTTTTAAATGTAATATATTCTTGCAAAATGCTGTCCTCAAAAAAAAAATAAAAGAAAACAGAGCTCTGAAAATATGATCTTTATCTTTTGTTTAGTGATGCCAGTTAACTGCCATGTTAAGCCACCTCTGTGGGCTATTTCTCACCTCTATCAGTTCAGGCTAACTGCTCGTCTACATGTCAGGCAATTTCAAATAAAAATTCCTTCAACAGGGATATGAAAAAAACTTTCGAATGGCTTGCAGATTAATATTCCCAGTGGAGTTAAATAGTTTCTTTGTCAGGTTTTTTTTGTAATTATTTGTCCTATGGTTCTTTTTTATACACTTTTCTTCAGTTCACCAAGGAATTCTGAATTAGTCAGAACATGCTCATCATTTTTTCCCACAAGGATGCTCTTTAAATAAATCTACATTTGAACTTCCTTCCATACGTTGACTTCTGAGTTGCAGCATACGCCTGTTAGAGCTGTGTAACAAAACGCAATGTAAGAAATAACATACCTCTGCTTATAGAAGATTTTAATTCTGTCAAGGGGATTTTGATGACAGTAACTATGACAGTAGAGGTTAAATATTTCATTTATATTTCTATCATCTTGTGGTTGAATCATGGCTTTAATTTATGTGTATTTTAGAAATATATTATCTAATTTAATACATGGCTAAAATAATCTCTCTGTAGTATTACAGACCTCCTTTCTTCTCTCCCCCATCTTATCTTTCAATTCTTTTCTCGCTTTCCTTATTTTGACATCCTGAATATTTGTAATTATTTGAACTGCAAATGACACATGAAAAGAGTGAAATCTACCTTTCCCAGTACTCTGTGGGTTTCTGTATGCTTTTATCATTATCTACTGGAAATTTTGCAAGTCACTGAAAATTATTTTCATCAATGTTTAGATATCGAAGATAGGAAGGGACCTTCTTTCTTTGTGTATTTTCCTGCACTGTTATTTTGTTATGCTACTTAGGACTGTCATTATCATTTTTATAGTCCTTGTATAGGCTTGTAAGTAGTGTGCTAAGCAGATTTATATTTGCTCCATTTCTACTGCATCCTACTCCTTTTTCCTATTTATTTTCAAATACGCATAGCCTTCTTTTCCTCTTTCACACCTTTTTCAGTTTTTGTGGCCTCATATTTTAGCAGCTGTTAGCAGAAGCATGTCTGAACACAACATTTTTAAAGCACAGTGGCAAGAACTACACGTAATATATTACAGTACTGCCTATGATCTTATATCATGGGATGTTACCGTCAGTGAAGATGCATCTTCTTGTCATACTTCTTTACAAATGGAGTCAATGTGGTTTCATTATAAAGGTTTGCTCTCTTCTTCAGCCTGTGACAGTTGGTATGGATGCAGCAAGCTGGGAAAATAGATCAAAAGAAGACTTAAAGTATTTGCTTCCCAGCTGTGGAATTTTGGTGACAACCAGTTACACGAAGGGCAACCTGTTTTACTGGTGCAATGGGGAACACAGGTTTACTAACCTGCTGCTCAGCGTGGCCCCCAGAAGTATTGAATTTATTTCAGATAGAGAGCTACTGGTCTAATGTCAGCCTTCCAGCAGAGAGAAGTGGCATTCAGGCCGTTAGAAAAAATGGCCCATGTGCAAAAAGAAAACAGAAATATTTGCAATTCTCATTTGTGTGTTTGGATTCTGGATCTAAATACACTAAACAGCCTATCCAAACTGCAACACTAATGTGTACTATATTGATACTTGCCTTGATCTAAATCAAATATAATACAGCACAGCTCTAAGACCTTTTATAGCTTTTTCATCTGATTTGCAATAGCCATAGAGTAGCCCACGTTCTTCAAGTTTGACAATTGTGGTTGCAATTTACCAACATTTCCCACATACTTGAGAAAAAAAATACTGCTTTTTATCAAAATGAAAAACTTATTTCTGATACGGTAGAACATGCAGTCCTGGCAGCTGAGTATGCAACAATATCTGATTTTGAAAGTATTATTGTTGACAGATGCAATTTAGTTTTGTTTTTTTTCCTGATAGATGTGGCAAACAGTTGTGGTTTATGTACCACTCAGTCCTTTGGAAAGGTGCTCCTGTAACTTCTTGTTGTTGTTATAAAACAGAGCTATTCTCAATATCGGAGTAAATTACATGGTACAAACACTTTATTCAATTTTAAGTAGCATCTTTAGGATGCTGTTCTCTTTAAGCAGGTTAAAATTGATCATATTTCGATACATAATCATTATTCCTTTGCCCCTGAAAATTTGTTTTGTTCTGTAACATAATTTTGAATGTGATATATTAATGTATCAGTGGTTTTATTTTGTATGCTTAGAGTTTGTGGTGATTTTTACTGTGATTCTCTCCTTGCCCAGCAAATAATGCAGTCATTTCAGAATGCAAGATATGTTTTAATGCTATAAATTATTGAATATTTGTGAGTGGATTATCTGAACTGTTGATTAAGGAGGGCCTGACTTTGCCTTGACAACGCCAGACCCAGCAGCAACAACAAAATGTGATGGAGTGTGTATGGAGAAAGTGATGATCCTACTCACTCAAGTTTGGCCTCAGTCCACCGGACTTCTGATTTGAAGCTCTCCCCTTTCTTTACATGTATCTAAATGCAAATCCTTTCAAAAGGGAGCATAGTAAACATGCTCTGTAGCCTGATTGACATATGCTTTTTCATAATACAAGTTTTTATTGATCTGGATTACCTCAATTCAAGATCAGTGGGAGGTCATAATACTATTTAACATTAACTTGTTTTCATTTGAAATTGTTATAAATAATTGCATAAGGTGATGGCAGTGAGCTGAACATGTAATCAGTAGAACTTTGATCAGGATTTTGGGGTAAGAAGGAGAAACTGGCTCATGATGAGATGAAAAACTCATGATGAGTGAAAAACTGGACAAAGTGTTAGTGCTCCAGACTGCTCTGGGTGGGTGTGCCTGAGTATTTTACTTTGTGTTAAATCAATGTATCCAAGTGATTTAGGGGTCAGCAAATTCATCACCGTAAATACAGTGTTGGCACTGACATGAGAAGTGTTTAAGTACACAGGAGGCTTTTAAGTTGTACATTCTTTCTTTTCTATAGTAAAGAAAGCAAAGGAAACAGAGAGAGAATCAGCAGAAAATACACATCCCTTAAATAGAATTGGCACCCACATCTTAAAATATTAATAATTTTCATCTGTCTAGCTAGCTAATCTTTATTCCATTTAAAATATTTTAAATCACTATTTTCACTTACTCAAATTAATTATTCATATTATTATTTATATAAGCATAAAATATCTTTACAATTAAATACTTATGCATCATCATAACTACCTTTAGAAACAAGAATAATTTTTAAAAAAATCTGTATAGTAATGGGTAACTTCCTGTACAAGAACCAAAACACTGAAGAATGAAGAACCTCTAGAGATCATTTTTAAGGATTATGGACTGCTTTGGCAAGCAACAGGCCAGAGACGTACTTGATAACTTGTCAAAACAGTCTGTAATCCCAATTAAAGCCTTCTCTTGAGAGCTGGCTGATGTACATCAAGCTTGTATGCAAGGTTCTGCTGACACTTAAAATCCTCTTTCTTTTATTTGTTGAATCTTTTGCTTTGTGATTTCAGTTGTGTATCTCTCATTATTCTTAAAATATTTAAAATTGAGCTAGAGAGGAGCAAATGCCTAGCTGCCTCATGTATGTGCATGGAGTGATTTCTGCTGTAACTACATTTTCAGTCAAACTGTTTTCATTGGCTTTGTGGACTTCTATTTGTTTACTATTATTCACTACAGATTCAGTTTTATTTGAAGGAATGCTGACAATATTTTTCTTTCCTTTTAGAACTTTTTATTCATAAGGCCACAGTCCAAATAAGGGAATGACCCCTCAAAGCATTAGTAAGCACTGGTAAAATTTTAAAATGTGCTGAAGTCATACTGACTTCTTAGTTCCTCAATTTCTTTGATACATTCCAAAATATTACCATGTAGATATAACTTCAAGCATGCAATTAATCCACTTTAAATTATGCATATTGTTATTTTTATTGACGCTAATATAGAGCTTCTGTGCTGTCCAGTGTCTTTATGCCTAAGTTAGTTTCATTAAGGGCTCTTCCTAACAAACACCTGCACTTCTGATTTCATCCATTTTGTGATGAATGAGTTTATTAGTATAATTGTCAGGTGACCGTAGATACTTTGTAGGTACTTTTTTTCTTACTTGTATAGAGGAAGGGAATTTCTATGTCTTTCCTTAGCTGCTGCTGATCATTGTAGTATAGGTCAGCAGTGAACCCTGTGCCATCAGGCAAAACCACAAAATCGAAATTCTCTGCAAAGTGCATTAAGGAAGAACTGCAACCTGTGCAGAATTTAAAATTCAGTTTCTAACACCCCTTGCCATTTTTGGCTATTGCATGTATGTATGTAGTTAACACACTACATAATGTGGTACTCCACCACGTTTGATTGTACGTTTACTAGTATGTTCTTCAATTTTGTGCATTTGGACTTCTTAGCATAAACCAAAGTTAAGCATGATCCTGAGTAAGTATGATCTGTTGAGTTGGAAAAGCCGTTTTCATTAAACCTATTTGTATTCTGCAATTTTAAGTCTTACGGAAAGGAAACGTTGCATTCTGTTGTGCTACGTGCGTTTAAAACTGTATTGAATAGTTGTCTTTGGACTTGGTTCGGAGTTCACTGAAGTCTGATGGGTTTTACTTCAGGTCCTTTGTGCATATTTCTTCATTGCTGGTGCCTCCATTACTGAAATATTTCCATTTCCATGGTATCAAAAGCAAGTTTTATGTTGAGTACAAGTGTATTAAATCAGACTAATGTCCTTTCACTGATTTGGAGAATGAATGTAGATTGATGCTATTGTTCTTTTTGGTTTAAAGTTGAAACCAGAAAAATCTTAAATGAGGAAGAGGTTGAGAAGTCTCTCATAAACCTTTTGGAAATTGAAAACAATGGAGTTAAAGTTGCTGCTTCCCAAGCAATTTCTGCCATGTGTGAGAATTTAGCTAGCAAACGTGCCTTTGGACTCCAGGGTAAGTAGGGTGGGAAGGCATGAACTGAGAATCTGTGCTTTTCCATTTATAAAGAAGCACATTAAAATTTTGCAGACTGCCATGGTTTATTTAAAGGTTCATGTATACAATTATTTCTTTCAAAGGAATTCCGCAGCTAGTACAGTTGCTAAGCAGTGACAGTGAAGAGGTAAAAGAAGCTGCGGTGAGAGCATTAGCTAATTTGACAGCAGCCAGTCCTAGTAATGCAAGGTGAGTCTGCAATAATTTAATTATTTTTTTAAAACACTACTCTGAATACAGAGTGATAATATTTTGATTTTCAAAGAATGCCTTATCTTGCCTGTATCCTACAAGGCAGATCTGTTTGAATTTGACTATAAGGCACTTTTAGGTGCTCAAGTCATCTGGAATAGGTTGGTTTTCAACAACATTACAAGAGTTACACTAACTCAGTATATGAACGTTTGCTTTATCAAGGAAAGGTATGAAGCAGATGTAAAAAAAGCAGAGATATAAATCATATTTTGCAGAGAGCATATGAGGAAAACATGCCTTGCAATGTAAGACATTTGATGTGGGATATTTTTTGAAACTTCAGAATTAGTAGGTATCCTTTAAAATTTGATGGTTCACGCAACTTTTTGGACTGATTTAAATCCAGTCTTTGAGGGAGATAGCACTGAGATACTCTGAATATTGGCGTTGTCTTTTTTCTTAATTGTTTCCCAAATCATAGTGAATGCCCATAGTGCACTCTTTAAAAGAAGTGTAACTTCAGTATCCAAAATAACTAGCAAAGGATAGTTAGCTGACTATAAGTTCCAAAATAATTGTATCGACTGAATTCTACTGTCAGTTGCAGAGCTCTGTTATCCCAACTCTATTAAAAGTTTTGTTCAAGGAAAGAAACAGAGCAGTCTGACGTATATGAGCAATCACATGTAACTACCAAACCGTAAAATAAAATTCCTTAAAAGTTTCCTGGAATATACTTAAGGAAGTTGTAATCCATTCACAGGCATTCTTTGAAGTGAAAAAGTAAAATAACTCACCAAATAAATTATTTGTTTCAATTTATTGATTCAACTCTAATAGTCACCAGTATTCCCTTAATGTTACCAGATGGAGCCATAATTTGACACAAGAGAATAATACTCTGTTCTCAGCTTCACGTGGATTTTTCTGGTCTGATATTCTGCTCTCCTCATGTGTGTGACTCTTCAGTTGGTGTCAGTGGGAGTCATGCACACATAAAAAGAGCGCAGTGCCGGAGTCTAGGGATCAAACTCTCAGCTCCGCTACAGCTGTTTTTCATAGCACAGCCCTTTGAGGTTTCACATTGTGAAAAGAATCTCTGGAGAGTTTTGGGTTGGTATAGCAGCTTATGCCAACTCATTCAGTTTCTTTTGCCAAGGAGATAGTCAGGACATTGTTTAGCTCAACTGCTAGAACAATTCTCTGAGACCTCAGGCAGGGAAATAGCTGTCTCTCTTCCTCTGCATTATAATTCAGTCCTTATTTGTTTCTTGCTGGGCAGAGTCAGGAAATTGTAAAGGTGGTTTACATATACTTCTCTCTCTTTGCAGTCCAGCTCCAAGTACAATATGGAAGCGCCAGATAATCTAATCACAGGTCTTCTGTGAAAATCAGGAAGCAATAATTTACATTAAATATGTATATTGGATGAATGCCATGTGACTATATAATTACTTCAGAGCTTCATTTCTAAATCAAAACCATTAATAAGTCATAGAAGGGTCCAAGTGTGACTAGGATGTGACTGGGAACTATAAATGAATACATAGAGTCGAACTCTCAGCTGATAAAAATTGGTATAGTTCCAGCTCAGTGACAGAGTATCTGGCCCATATTTATTTTACATTCACATAACAGGAAGAAAAAAAAATAGTTTGGAGAAAATGCATTCCAGATTGAGTTACCATAATTGTATTTCATTTTGGAATATTTTGTGCATGTGTTTTGTAAACCACCAAAAATAAGTGTGTGTATATAATAAAGACACTGATACACTTTTGTGGTAATGTGACTTAGCTGTGTAATTATGTTGACAATATTCTGGTCCCTAATGAGACTAATGAGACTAGTGCCCTTTTATTGGTTATATATTAGATTCTTGTTACAAATCCTCCAAGAATATTTAATCATAAAGCTAATAGTAGCAGGTAGACCTTGTGTGGCGAGAACAAAATGGCTACAGTAAAGGGAAAGACTATTTACTCTAAATATTTTTGCTTTTTACCAGCCTAAAATTCAATCTTGTTGAACACATATACATGTGTTCTGCCGTATTTAATTTCCTGAGCGTTTTTGCATTTGTTATATTGATTGAAGGATGTGTACCCTGCCCTTTCGTTTTGTACAGTATATATTACAGAATGCAAACAGAGCACTGGGCACTGCTGGTTTTCCTGGAGATTTGTTCTTGTTAGGAATATTTGGTCAAGAAGTACTGTCTGCTTTTCATATAATATGGAAAAAATGTAAGTTGAAACAAATCGTGTAATTAGGGCTCCCACAATAGCTAGCTCGTAAGGATAAAGTCTTCCATTGATTAATACCACAAGAACAGCATAGGCAATGGGCAATACTACCCCCCACTAATGTATATTAACCTTGACCTTTAGGTGCTTCCCCACAGCAATGAAAGGCGAGGTCTATACCCCTACCCAATCAATCCTTTGTTTCTCAACTGAGACAGCTAATAAAGGTGTCAAATGTGGTGGAGGTTTTGTAATTAGAACACCTGTTCACGCTGAATGGGACAGAGACCAGCTTGTCATTTCACATAGGTCCCCAAGTGGCCACGATTTGGAAAAAATAAATAATGACTGCCCTCCTTAATACTTTAACCAAAGATCTAGAGCAGAAGAGAACATGAGTCCCATAGAAATGGTTTGAGCTTTCAGATTTACTGGAAAATGTGAATTTTCCATATGGTCTCTACCAGAACACATAAAAATTACTGTAAGTAACTTATAAAATATTTCAGCATTTAGTTTTTTGCTGCAAAGCTGATGTTTTGTCACACTTCAGTAGCACATGGAAAGAAATACGGTGGTCAAATGCCTCATTAGTTTACAGACTGACAACCTCAGATGATGCTTTTATCAGAATTTTGTCATAAAGTAATGACAGAATTTTAATGCTGCTGTGTATAATGATAAATTATTTGTAAGCATGTTAACATGTAGGCTAAATAAAAATAAAATTGCAAAGTATACTGCAGTTTAAAATCCCATGTACTTATTCTAACATACAAGAAATTAGTTTGCCACGTCACTGTGTGTTTAGCTGTGAGGCCATCCTTGATATATGTGTCAGAATTTGTTTCTGTGTCTGCTTGTGGGAAGAAGAGAATTATCTTCAGCATTTGCGTCCACTTCACATTTTTTAATCCAGAATGCTGACTTGCTTTATGAAAAACTATATAGTTATTTGGACAACAGAATGCCATTTTAAAGAAGCTAAGAAATCTGTCTATTTTTGATATGTCCAAGCATCGGGAAATGTAGACACAGTCCCTTCAATAATGTACATTATGCACAAATTGAAAAATTACACACAACCAAAGAAACAGCAGTGCCATCTATTGGTCAGAAAAATAAATTAGTCTGTTTTGTACAACAAACTACAGAACAAACGTTTTACTTCAGCCTCTGCGTATTTTTCCCATTTAAGGTATAATCAATTATTTTTGCTTTTCATGTATTTAGGATAAACTAATCATGTGAAATATAAATATGCTGTTGATTAGAAGTAACACATAGAAATAAGATCTCCATTGTACCAGTTAGCAAGACATTAATTTGGCCAGCTCTTTTCTTCAGTATTGTTGTAGCACAAATGCCATTTCTAATAGCTGTCTTCATAAATCTGGCAGTGTCTGAATTCTGGGCACCTAATGGAGTTACCACTAAAGAAAAACATATGCTCTGGAATTAGAGCTTTGTACTGGACATGAAAACTAATTAACAGCCTCAATAATATTTGTCTTACATTGTTTATTTTAAGTGCAAAATTTATAGCATTTGGAGTTTGGTTTGGAGGAAGAAAGAAAAGGATGTTTTTTGTTCAACTGTATTAAGGGCTGCAGAAAATTGTGGTACTTGACAGAGAATATTTCTCCTGGGGTTTATAATTAGTGTCATGTTACCTCTTTCTAAGTAGTATATCTGGATTCAAGATGGTAAAGTATCATCCCAAAATTTTCAAATGCAGCAAGCTTGATATTTAATTTTCTAATTCTTTAATTCTTCACAGAAATCAGTGGACCTATTTACATTAACAAAATTATGTCCATATCGACAGTTACAGACGTTATCACAGCATCTGGACTTAAACTTTCTCAAATATATCAAGATTTCCAAGCTTTGGGAGTAGGCTTCGGATAGAAATGTAGCTGGGGAACTCATTAGTTATGGGCAGTGCCTGGTGAGTTGGTGTTTCATCTATTACAAACTGAAATTCATGTACCGATCTAATGACCCAAAATACATGCTCAGTCTATTCCATGTGCATAATGCTCACCTTCTTAAATGGAAATTTTCAGTATCCATAACCAATTTTGTTGGGTTTATGAGAGGTATGTTATGAGAGGCTTTCAAGGAATAAATTTAAAGAATGTCCGGCTTTCCTACACTGGAAATTTTGTTAGTATCATCAGGAAGTAATGATTATTACCATTAGGTAGTAATCTTCCCTATTAGAAAATGAGAAAATTAATCAAAGCTTTTCTCTTTCAGGACTGTAGGTAGAACTTAATTTACATAAATGGATCAATATTGAAGCTTCAGTATTATGCAAGATAATATATTTACGTGAATATATATGTTAATTTATGAGAACAGGAAAGATTTCTAGAACATAAGAGCTACATTTAAGAAAAAGTCGGTAATAATCCGTTGTATAGGTTTTGTCTTTTTTATGGTTTAGTAGTTTTTCTTTAGAACGTAAGTTTGTACTTCTAAAGGAGGGTATCAACAATAGAATGGCAGTAGCTGCATTGTGTGAAGGTAGTGTGTTTTAATACTGACCCCTAGTGACAGAATTATTTTTTTGAGCTACTGTGCTGAAAGGTGAAGGGATTTTGTTGGGTTTTGTGGTTTATGTTGTTATTTTTCACATTAGCACCCATTCTGCTGAATGCTATGCAAATACAAACAGTTAATTCATGCCATGATCAGATTCCTGGTTTGACTTCCTTCTACCATATATCCATAGCGCGATGG